GCTTGGCCGGCCAAGCCCATAGCAGAGCCAGGCTAGACCCTCGGGCCGAGTTCCCGCCTCTGCCGCGCCGCCCCACCCTCGCCCCTCACCTCTTGGCGTCGGGGGCCACCTCGCCCCGCACTCTGAGGCACTCCCCGGGTTTGAGATTCAGGTTGCTGGCGACCAGACCCTGCGGACAAGACCCCGCCCAGTAGGGTTAGAGGACAAGGCCTCGGCTGCCCGCAGTGTCCGGGGTGTTAGGGGTGGGATTGTTCCCAGCCTGGATCCTCTGATCAGGCCCATGGGAGGCCTGGGAGACAGGACCTGGCTGCAAGGTGGCGTCTCTGATTCTCTGTGTGGTCCTGGGAAAGTCCCAATTCCCAGCAGGGTCCGCTTCAGCCTGTAACTGAGCCAGGTCTAGATGACAGGCGCTCAGAGATTCTGTGGACCAGCTTGGGGATGTTGGACTCAGAGTGGCCTGGGAGGTGGGGTGCTCTGCTTGGCTGCCTCAGAGGGAGAGGGTCAGGCTCAGAGAGGGGCAGCCACTTGCCCAAGGTCACACTGAATGGAGAGGTCGGTCCCTCTGCTGGCGAGGAGGAAGTGGGTGGTCCCACTACCCCCTTTAAGCCCGTCTGTGTAGATGCCCAGAGCAGACCCTGAGGGCCCGACCCTCTGCAGAGGGCAGGCAGCTAGGGGTTGGGCTGCAGCCAGATAGGCTCAGGGTTAACAAGACTGAGAGCACTGCAGAGCACTGCTACCCACTGGCGCCTGGGACGGTGGGCGGGAGTTAGTACCAGTGATTTTTTCTGCCAAAAATTTGAACGCTTTCCCAGGGGGCCTGCGGAAGAGTCTCTCCTTCTCCTGCCCTCACCACTCCCACCTCCCAGCTTGGGGGTGGTGAAGGGGAATTCCCTAGCACCCGCCCCCCCCTACGAGCCTGACAAAACCACCCTCCACCCTCTAACCCAGGCAATCTCATCCTGGGCTGCCGCCTGTCTCAGGTCCTGGCGACTTTTCAGCACTCTCTGGAGCAGAGGGTGACTCTGCCCTGGCTTGGTGACAGGGACAGCTGCAGGGGGGAAGGGACAGGAGGCTCTTTGAGGCGGAGGAGGGGGAAGGGGCAGTGGCCTGGGCTCACCAGAGTACCCAGCCCCCAGCTGGCCACACCCTTCTCAATCCCACTTCTCAGAGAATTGCAGAATGTCAGCCCTCGGCAGAAATAACTGTGCTGTCAGATCCTGGAGGAATCCAGGAAATTCTTAAGCTAGAGAAAGCTTTGGGGGCTCATGGCTCCCACCCCCATTTTACAGATGTAGCCACTGAGGTTCAGAAAAGAGAAGGCACTCTTTAAGGCCACACAGCTGGGACCAGAACTCAGCTCCTGATCTGCCCTCTCTCTCCGGGCCGTCTTCTCCCCCGATTCACCCTGGACCTTAGAGTGGGGTTTCCACACTCACACAAGCCATGACTGAGGTCAGCAGGATGTTCCAGGGACCGCCGCACCAGCTGTCTGAAGACTCCACCCGAGAGATGGGCCCTGACCGCTCCCACCCTTTTAACTGGGCCGGATTGGCTGAGTCCCGCCCCCTGGAAGCTCAGCCAATCGCAAGTCAGGACGGGGCAGGGGGCCCACCGGAGGCGGAGTCAATGGAATCTTGAAGCCAGTTCTGGAGCAGAGGTGACCAATCACAGTGGTGAGCCTCCCCCCACTCCTTCCTAGCCGCTCCCCCGAGGTCCAAGCTCCACCTCTTGTTCTCCATCTCTCTCGACCTCCCCCCCCCCGCCCCCGAAAAATTGTGCTGTGGCAGAGATTGGGGGAAGCCAATGGAAAATAGTTTAGGGATGAGCTAGACCCAAGAGTTGGCGGGAAGGGGCCTGGGGCCAGCAGGCTGGGCTCGGGGGTCTGGCCAGAGAAGATGGCTGAGGGGGTGCAGGGTCCTTAGGGAACTAGAACTAGGGGGTGTCAGACAGCTCCTGGCCGGGCCCGGGCGTGGTTCCCGCTGAGCGCCTCTGCAGAGGGCACAAACCTATTAACCATAAGCCCTGGCCCCACCCGGGCCTCCCCCGGAAGCAGGGCCTGTGGCTGCCGCCAGTGCTCCTCACTAAGGCTAAAGAAAGGCTGGGCCAGGCGCCAAGCCTGAGGCTGCAGGGCTTGGCTGGGCCTCAGGCTTTGGCTCCCCTGTGGGGCCTGCGAGGAATACTCAAAGAGCCCCCCAAAAGTTCCTGCCAGTCTGAGAGTGTGGGGCCTGGAGACAGTCCAGGGTGGGTACGGCCATAAGGGGTGTGGTCCTGGCTCTGTGCACCCTGTTCCTTTTCACACCTCCCCTCTGAGGCCGGCAGGGCCTCCTTTCCCTGTCTTTTCAGCAGGTATTTTACTGATCACCTATTATGTGGTTGGCCTGAGCTCTTAGAGATGAACCACTCCCTGCTCTCAAGGAGCCTGTGGTTGGGTGGAATCCAAACATGCCCTGATTCAGAGATAGCATGACATGGCCCTGGGGAAGTCACGAGCAATCACCTTGGTGGGATGAGGCTATGTAGAAGGGAAGAAAGTGGGCTTTGAAGGTTAGGTGAAGACAGACCTGGTATTCCAGGATAGCCAGAAGCTCAGAAATGAGGAGGAAGCCAAGACTGGGAACAGTGAGTTTCTGGGCATGGAGGGGCAAGATGGGGGATGAGCTGGTAGCCATCAGTACCTGGGATCATGAAGGGCCTCATGGGCAGGTAACAGGCTTGGGCGCTGTTTTATCTGAGGGCGTGGAGGAGCCAAAGAGGGTTATAGGGAGGCTGAGTATTGAGGCCAGATTTGAGCTGTAGAGATCACTGTAGCAGCAGAGTTGAGGGGGGTTGAAGGGGTGCTTACTTTGTGGCAGAGAGGGGCTAGAAACAGTTAAAATTATTCCTTTTGTTTTTTTTGAGTTGGAGTTTCACTCTGTCGCCCAGAGTGGAGCGCAGTGGCATGCTCCTGGCCATCGCAGCCTCGACCTGCTGGGCTCCAGCGATCCTTCCACCTCAGCCTTCCAAGTAGCCAGAACTACAGGCGCGCGTTACCACTCCTGACTAATTTTTAAAATTTATTGTAGAGACAAGGTCTCGCCAAGTTGCCCTGGTGGGTCTCGAACCCACAGGCTCAGGCAGTCCACACGCCTTGGCCTCCCAAAGTGCTGGGATTATAGCCACCGAGCCTGGCCAAAATTATTCCTTTTTAAAAATCAACCTGCAAGCTCCAAACCGGCTAGACATGGGACAGAAAACCAAACAGCCACAAGTCACTTTCCTGGAAAAGCAAGATAGTAATCGATTCACAACCTTACCCCGCATCCTCTCTTTGTGAAGTTATCGGTTTACAACCCCTGCTTGTCATCTATATCCTGGAAGCAATTTTGTTCTTTGAAAATCTGGTTTTGCCAGGCTCGGTGGCTCAGCCTGTAATCCCGCGCCTTTGGGAGGCTGAGGTGAGT